GCTGAGTATACTTGGTAAAGTATATAGTAGAGTTATTATTGAAAGAATTAAGAGTAAGACAGAGAGCAGGATAGCAGATGAACAAGGAGGCTTTGGGAAGGGTAGGGGGTGTGTAGACCAAGTGTCTGCAGTGAAACATATAGGTGAACAGTATTTAGATAAGAGTAAAGAGGTTTTTGTGACATTTATGGATTTGGAAAAAGCATATGACAGGGTGGATAAGGAGGCCTTGTGGCAAATTTTGCAAATGTATGGAATAGGAGGTAGGTTATTGAAAGCGAAGAGTCTTTACGAGGATAGTGAGGCTCAGGTTAGAGTATGTAGGTGATAGGGAGATTATTTCCCAGTAAAAGTAGGCCTTAGACAGGGATCTGTGATGTCACCATGGTTGTTCAATATATTTATAGATGGAGTTGTAAGAGAAGTGAATGCCTGGGTGTTGACAAGAGACAGAGCACAGAGGTTGGTTGATGAGTTTGGTAGAGTATGTAAAAGAAGGAAATTAAAAGTGAATATAGGAAAGAGTAATGTGATGAGGATAACAAAAAAAAAAACAGTTAACGAAAGATTGGGTATCAGATTGGAGGGAGAGAGTATGGAGGAGGTGAATGCATTCAGATATTTGGGAATGGACGTGTCAGCAGATGGGTCTATGAAGGATGAGGTGAATCATAGAATTGATGAGGAGAAAAGGGTGAGTAGTGCACTGAGGAGTCTGTCTAGACAAAGAACTATATCCATGAATGCAAAGAGGGGAATGTATGAGAGTATAGTCATACCAATGTTCTTGTATGTGTGCGAGGCATGGGTGGTGAATGCTGCAACAAGGAGAAGGCTGGATGCAGTGGAGATGTCATATCTGAGGGCACTGTGTGGTGTGAATATAATGCAGAGAATCCATAATTTGGAGATTAGGAGGTGTGGGATTACCAAAACTATTATACAGAGGGCTGAGGAGGGATTATTGAGATAGTTTGAACATGCAGAGAGGATGGAATGAAATAGAATGACTTTGAGAGTCAATAAATCTGTAATTGAGGGAAGGCGGGGTAGGGGTCGGCCTAGGAAAGGTGATTTCTGTAGATGGAAAGTACAGCGCCGGCACTATGAAGGAGGGGTGTTAATGTTGCAGTTTTATAACTGTAGTGTAGGTGCGCCTCTGGCAAGACAGTGACAGAATGAATGATGATGACAGTTTTTCTTTTTTGGGCCACCCTGCCTTGGTGGGAGACAGCCAATGTGTTAAAAAAACATTTATATAAAGTTTATTTTCATATTCTCATTGCCACATGCATATGAAAAACAATATATTCTTATTCTCATAATCTGTAATCTTCACAACCATTAACCCATAAAACTGTCCAAACATAGATCTACATTTTCACTGCCTGAATATTTTGAGTTTGTTTTTAAATTAAAGAGGGCAATTTTCTGGGTGTAATAAGATGAAAAATGTTTTTAGGGCCAGTACTTGCCGAGATATAAGGCCATGAAGTTGGCGCCGGATGCTCACCTGATAGGAACATTAGAGCCCTGCCACTTGCAGAAGTGTTGCTGATATACCTTTTTTCTCATTTTTATTTTAATTTATATAATTTTCATGCTCTGATAATTACAAACTGTAGTAGTTCTTGTGATTTTATAACCAATCTTTGTTCTGACACTAATATTAGGTACTGAAATAGTCACAAACACAGTGACAGGTGAACATTTTCACCTGTCTTCGTCACATACTATTGTCTACAAATACAGTGGTGCCTCGGGATACAAATTTGTTTCATTCTATAAGGCTGTTCGAGTGCTGATACCAAACTAATTTGTTTCCATAAAGAATAATGTAAATCTGATTAATCCATTTCAGACCCTCAAAAATACACTTAAAAAAAACACTTACATAAATGCACTTACATAATTGTTTGAGTTTTGATCTGTTCCTATATTGAAGTACCACTGTATATACAAAGTATTTATAGGTTCCAGCATTATTTTAGACATGCTGGAGTATATATGAAACTCCTTGAAGCATAGTGTAAGGTGAGTGTCACTCCACTGCTGACAGTGCAGCAGTGGAGTAATACTTGATGATCGAGCACTGCTCCATTCAACCTTGGCTTTATTTGTTTTCACTGTTACACAAACATGTCTGTCTATTTGTCTATCTGTACGTCTGTCTGTCTAGCTCTGTCTGCTTATCCGTCTTTCTGTCTCTGCTTGTCTCTGTCTCTGAGAGCCACTCACTAACTAACAGTTATTACACATGATGCAGAGTTGTCACATCTGATTCCTGAACAAGTGAAAATGCATATTACTTGCCAGTCATGCTTATTATGCCTTATATCTACAATATCAGGAGTATACCTGGAGAGGGTTTTGGGGGTCAACACCCCTGTGGCTCAGTCTGAGACCAGGCCTCATGATGGATCAGGGTCTGACAAACCAAGCTGTTACTGCTGGCAGCATGCAAACTGATGTATGAACCACAGCCCGGCTGGTCAGGTACTGACCTTGGGTGCCTGTCCACTGCCTTCTTGACAGCCAGGGATCTATTGGTAATCCCCCTTATGTATGCTGGGAGGCAGTTGAACAGTCTTGGGCCCCGGACACTTACTGTGTTGTTTCTCAGTGTACACATGGCACCCCTGCTTTTCATTGAGGGAATATTGCATCTCCTGCCGAGTCTTTTGTTTTCACAGGGAGCGATTTTTGTGTGCAAATTTGGTACTAATCCCTCTAGGATTTTCCAAGTGTATATTATCATGTATCTCTCAAGCATGCATTTCAGAGAATACCAATCAAATGACTTCAACCATTCTTAGTAATTTAAGTGCCTTATTGTACTTGTGTGTGCCGTGAAGGTTCTTTGTACACTCTCCAGGTCAGCAATTTCACCTGCCTTGAACGGGGCAGTTAGTGTACAGCACTAGAAAGAACAAACAATTTGAAGAGAATCATCATCAGCTTGGTGTCCCTAGTTTTGAAGGTTCTTATTATCCATCCTATCATTTTCCTAGCACAGTATAGCATTTTGTCTGCATTTTTTGGGTTATCCTAGGTAATTTACATTATGTATGATAACTATAAATATGTGTACCTGTGAGATAGAGAGACAGACAGATACAGAGAGACAGCCAAAGTCAATCAGCCAGCCAGCCACAACCAGCCAGCCAGCCAGCCAGCCAGTTTACCTGGAGTTTACGTGGAGAGGGTTTAGGGGGTCAATGGCCCCGTGGCCCGGTCTGAGACCAGCCCTCATGGCGGATCAGGGTCTGATCAACCAGGCTGTTACTTTTGGCTGCACGCAAGCTGATGTATGAACCACAGTCCGGTTGGTCAGGTACTGACTTTAGGTGCCTGTCCAGTGCCTTCTTGAAGACAGCCAGGTGTCTATTGGTAATCCCCCTATATGTATGCTGGGAGGTAACTGAACAGTCCTGGGCTCCGGACACTTACTGTGTTCTCTCAGTGCACTTGTGGCACCCCTGCTTTTCATCGGGGGTAATGTTGCCTCTCCTGCCGAGTCTTTTGGTTTCATATGGAGTGATTTTCGTGTGCAGGTTTGGTACCAATCCCTCCAGGACCTTCCAAGTGTATATTATCATGTATCTCTCTTGCCTGCATTCAAGGAAATACAGATCAAGGACCTTCAACCCTTCCCAGTAGTTTAGGTGCCTTATCACACATGTGTGCCGTGAAGGTTCTTTGTACTCTCTCCAGGTCTGCAATGTCGCCAGCCTTAAAGGGGGCCGTTAGTGTACAGCAGTATTCCAGCCTAGAGAGTACAAGTGATTTGAAGAGAATCATCATGGGCTTGGCATCCCTAGTTTTGAAGGTTCTCATTATCCATCCTGTCATTTTCCTAGCGGATGAGGTAGACACATTGTTGTGGTCTTTAAAGGCGAGATCCTCTGACATTATCACTCCCAGGTCCTTCACATTACTTTTCTGCTCTATTGTATGGTTAGAATTTGTGGTATACCCTGACACATTTTTCATTTCTTCAAGTTTTCCATATCTGAGTAGTTGAAATTTCTCCTCGTTGAACTTCATATTGTTTTGAGTGGCCCATTCAAAGATTTGGTTGATGTCCGCTTGGAGTCTTGCAGTGTCTTTGATGGAGGTCACTGCCATGGTGATCCAGGTGTCACCCGCAAAGGAAGACAAGGAGCTATGGTTTACATCTCTATGTCAGAAATGAGGAATAGAATGGGAGCAAGTACTGTGCGAGACTACTGCATTATTGTAGTAGTGAAAGAATATTAGACTCCCCAGTTGGTGTGTGTCGGACGTGTGGTGTGAGTTGCTTACTCTTGAACATTGGTAAAAATCGAACATTTCCGCTATTTTGAGCTCAATTTCAAGGTCGTTTTCATCATGAAACTAATCAAAATCATCTCCATTTCTGTAATATGTTTTCCATTCTATGAAATGAGACCAAGAAAACGAGAATACAACCATAAATACTATAGGAAAATACACCTCAAAGTCGGAGTTTTTTTTCTCATTATGCGCTGAGTGCTGCAGGATTTTTTTATACAATGCACACTGACCACACAGACCCATTCTTTCACATGTGGACCTACCAGCTTTCTCCCACTTGATTTGAAGCCACTAGAATTATTGAGTATACGTATATACGTCTGAAACACTGGCTCGTAAGATGTATATATACGGCCGAAACAGTCAAAGGGTTAAATAATAAACTCAAATATATATTTAAATTCTGAAGGGAAGAATTTTATATGGCAAGAAATGCTTATTTTGCATTGCTACTGTATATACTGTATGATAACCATATACAGAACACAAATACATATTCCTTTTTATTCGCTTTACATATGAAATCGTATGTCTGCCATAAGGTATGTAGTAATAAATCATTTATATTTCTAAACAGATCAAATTAATAATTTATTTACCAAGTAAGGATATTATTTTTATTGTATTTTAATTATTTGAAAATGTTACTTATTAGCGTTACAATTAATAAGTTAATACTCTACCTTACAACACCAGAGTTGTGCTAGCTGAGGTAAGTTTGTGGCAGAGAATAACCTCAAAGCTGTTACCACATTTCCTTCAACTTCACCACCTATAATGTTAGAGACTCCATCAAACTGGTACTCTGCCCACCAACCTAACATATCATTCCTGAAATAAATAATAATATATGATTGCATGTCTTCAAAAATTCACCTGGAAAGTCTCATGTGGTCCCCAGCCACATTTACCCTTGAGAAGATTTTCACATTTTTTTTCAGTGTTACAGAAAACACATTATGGTATAACTGGAATATATACAAACAACATAGTACATGGATACCTAAAGAAATTAACAGAAACCTTGGCATCAAAAAGCACCAAATCAGGTACAAAATTGTCCCATTGCTTCCTTGACCAAATTAGCAGGTGTAGGATTCAACTTCCCCAGACCATCAACTGTTCAAGGCAAACTATAAGGTCAGGTAATCAAAACAGTAAAAAAAAAAAAAAAAATCCACATCTACAAGTGCCAACACTATAGCAGTTCAAGTAACACCAAAGAGGCCAGGATGATTGCTAGGTGAGAAAACAATAGTAGTAGGTTCACTTTTCAGTCACAACTCATGTCAACAAACATTTCCACCGCCGCCACAACCACTACCACAACTGCTACCACTACCGCTACCACCACCATGGTAAGCAGAAGCCCAGATGCTGTCACCCCTAAAGAAAGTTACTTGTATATTTATGTGAAGCTCTAAACTCATGTGGGTAATTCAGCACAAGTAGTAACAGAGGCTTGATCATCTGTCCACTATTCATTAGATGGACGCACAACTCGCAGCCAGTCAGGCTAAGGGAAGAATCATACAAAGATTTCCATATCAAGGGGCTTTCTATAAAGTACTATAGTATTTATTTTTATTTTTTATTAACATATTGGCTGCTTCCCACCAAAACAGGGTGGCCCAAAAAAGAAAAACTTTCATCATTCACTCCATCACTGTCTTGCCAGAGGTGTACTTATACTACAGTTATAAAACTGCAACATTAACACCCATTTCCAGAACTCAAGTCCAGTCTGCTGGTTTCCCTGAATCCCTTCATAAATGTTACCCTGCTCACACTCCAACAACACATCAAGTCCTAAAAACCATTTGTCTCCATTTGCTCCTAACACGCTCACACATGCTTGCTGAAAGTCCAAGCCCCTTGCACACAAAACTTCCTTTACCCCCTCCTTCCAACCTTTCCTAGGCCGACCCCTACCCCACCTTCCCTCCACTAAAGATATGTACACTCTAAGTCATTCTATTTCATTCCATTCTCTCTACATGTCCAAACCACCTCAACAACTCCTTCTCAGCCCTCTGGATAATAGTTTTGGTAATCCTGCACCTCCTCGTAATCTCCAAACTACAGATTTTCTGCATTATATTCACACCACACATTGTCCTCAGACATGACATCTCCACTGCCTCCAGCCTTCTTCTTGTAGTAACATTCACCACCCATGCTTCACACCCATATAAGAGTATAAATATATTCTCTTACATTCCTCTCTTTGCTTCCATGGATAAAGTTCTTTGTCTCCACAGACTCCTCAGTGCACCACTCACATTTTTGCCCTCGTAAATTCTATGATTCACCTCATCTTTCATAGCCCCATCGGCTGACCGTCCATCCCAAATTTTAAATTTAAAAGGAAACCATGCGGATTTACGATTTGGCTTGGTTCTGACCAACCAGTCGAAGTCAAAAAGGGACAAAAAGCAAAACCCCCAAAAAAAATTGCCGAATACTGGGTGGGGCCCTAATGTAAAAACCTTTTGCAAATTTTAAAGTGCCTACATTGGTATCGAAAGTTATTTTTACAAAAATTAGGCTTCTCCTTACAGCTAAATTAACCCAAAAAAACCCCAACAGCTCTAAATTTTGGGCGGGCTCTCCAATGAGCAAGTATTGTATGCCTTTAAAAAGAATTTGGGTAGGGAAAAAGGGGCCCGTGCAGGGCCCTAAAGCTTAAAGCATTTTCCTTTTTCCCTTTTTACAGCCACTCATTTACACTAGCTTCTAAAAGGGCTCCCAGTTTAAATTATTTATCTTGTTTTGTGCCCCCCATAGTGCAAGATAGAAGTCCGACCCGTTTTTGGGAAGGGAAAATGGAAAAAATTTACAATAGAAGTTCATTGTAAATTTAGTTAGGGATGGGCCCTCAGGTATAAACCATTCCCGGAAATACACATTTCATCCATAAATTTTTTGTATTTGGGACGGGCGCCACCATGGTAAAAGAGGGAAGGGTGCGGGGGCAGGCACATGGAAGAAGGGAAAGGGGGGGAAAAAATGAAAAGAAAGTACAAAAAAATGTTCACATTTAAAAGGGTTAGCTGGGGGGTTGTTTCGTCGGGTTTTTACTTTTCTTGGTTTTCCCCGGCAGCTTAATTAAAAAGGGGGTTTAAAAACCTAAACCCAAATATGTGGGTGGTAAATTAATAATAAAAAAAATTTAAAATTTAACCCACTCTGGGGTTTTTTAAAATATCATATGAAACTTTGTACGGGTTTTGGAAGCTGACTTTTCCCCCTTTTGGGGGTTTTTGGGTTTCATGTATAGTACGCATAAAATTCTAGGGGCCCTTTAAAAATCTCGCGCGAAAAGGCTGGTAGGCCTAGGTGGGAGAGTTGGGGTCGGGCGTGGTGGGTTTGTCCCGGGGGTAGAAAAAAAATCTGGGCCCCAGGGGTTTGAAATTGGGGGAAATTTCCCTCTTAGTAAAATGTCCACCATGCCTCCCCGGTAAGAAGGTCCTCACTCCTGGCGAATTGGGCCCTTTTTTTCCCCCAGTGGACAGTTTTTAATGTGAGGGAAGTGCCAGTGAAGATGATTTTTTTTTGTGGTTTTAGTGAGGTTTTTTGACCGAAACTAATGCCAAAATCTCGGTAATTAGTGGGGAAAACCCCAGGACCCCACCCTTTTCCCCTTTTGGTGCGGGGCCCTCTTTTTCCCCCGTTCAGTTGTTCCAAAAACCAAGAGGGAAATTCTTTTTTCCCAAACCCCAGACAAATAGAGAAATGGGTTTGAGGTGTGATAGTGAATTTTGGAACTACAAGCTCAAAAACTGGTTCCCGTAGTGATAGTGAAGTGCAATTTCCCCAGGGGAAGCGTCAGTTTATAGGGCGATAATATGCGCTTGGTAGTGTGCCATAGTTATACCAAGGGGAAGGAGTGTATCTGGGGAGTACACCCCCGTGGCTGTAAAAAGGAACGGGACAGGAAAATGACAAAGTTTACTGTTCCCAATTTGGGAGGGAAAATTTGTGGGGTGGGGGGTAGTGGGTCCCGGCGGTGGGGCCCAACCAGCAGGGGGCCCATGCTGCCCCCCCGCTGCCACCCAGGGCCCGCTGCCTCAGCTGTCTAAAAACATCCCCCACTCACCCACCCAAACCAGCCCCAAAAAAACCACAACCCCCCCCAAAACCCAAAACCCAAACCGTCATTGTCCGACCCACCCCCGGACCCAAACCTGGGTTTGGGGCAGGGAAGGCTGTCAATTTTTTTTCCAAACCCCCCACCAGTTTGATGACAGCCAAAGGGGAAAATGGGCCCCATCTTGTGCACTTGGGAAAAAAAAAAAAAAAAAAAAAATGCCCAAAACGGGAATGTTTCAAGTTATTCTTTGACGAAACCATCATAAAAAGTTTGTCAGGGAAAAGAAACATATACGAGTACACCTTTGGCAAACACATTATTTTTCCCCAAAAAATCACGTCTACACCAGGGGAAAGGAGGCAACTTTTGGCTGAGATGTATTTTTTTTTGCCACAAATAAGCTTAAAGCCACATGTGTAATAAGCACAAAAATGAAATATACTGGTCAACCAGCCCCCTGTTGCAAAAACCCCGGTTTCAGTGATTTTAAGGGCCCGGGGAATCGATTTGTGCTAATGTTACATATGCTTCACTTCTCGATAAAACCAGGCCCGACAGAACTTTACAGGTTTATATAAGATTAGGAATGTGTTTGTGTTCTGGAAAAAGAAAAAACAGTACGGGATTTTTATCCCCTTAGGAAGCTTGGGAATTGAGGTTTTTATTTTGTAAAGGAAGACTCCTTTTTTTTAGGTTTCATACCAAACAAAAAGGAAATGCTTTTGGGGTTTTTAAAATTGTTTTTGGGTTTGTGTTGTTTACAGTGGTCTGGTAATTTTTTGGGGTTTTATTGTGCCACTGGAAGTTAACATTGCCCAAAATTTCCCGGAAGTTTTGGGCATCTCAGGTGATTTTGGTTCGAAACAAGGGTAGAAACCATACCTTTGGGAAGGGGCCCTATATTTTATACAGATAACTGGTACACAAGCCCCTAAATCCCCTGAATTTTTTGCGAGGGGAACATGGAAAAGATGTGGTGGGCCGTGCGTGCAAATCGGAAACATAAGCCCAGGTTTGACGCTGGCACTCGTGATGGGGGAGGTGCAGGCGTTTGCTGCCCAAAAGACTTTAGGCAATTTTTAGGTTTGGGATGACAAACGAGAAAGGGGCACACTGTTGTTTATCAATTCACCCTAATGAAATTTGGGAGACCCGTGGCAGGCAGCATAAAGGGGAGGGAATTTAACCCCTTCAAAACCTGCAGCTGTGATTGATTTTAAACCCTTTAAAAATGGGGCCCCGTGGACAAATGGACCTGCGATTGGGTTTGCTGATTTTGTTGCAAAAGTTATAAGTGGTACATCCAAATGTTTTTCCATTTTTCTGGACCAAATTTCCCCTGGGTTTCCCAAAAAGGGTTTTTAATATGTATAAGATGGCACCAGAAAAAAAACCACAGTAAAGGGCGAATTCTGTTTTCTGTCATCAGAAAAAAATAGGTTTTTTTTCAAAATCCCAAGGTAACACCCTGGCCCAAATTGACCGCCCCCAAAATTTTCAACAACACCTGCTTTTCTGAAGCATGGTGAAAACCCTTCCCTGGTTAAAAACCCGCCCCGCCCACGCTTTCAAGAAAAAACCCCAGAAGGGTTTAGTCTGGTGCCTAAAAAAAAGCCCAAAACAATGCGAGAAAAATCGTTTTATGTGGAGGAGTGTAAAAACTCCACTGTGCATGCCCCCATGTTTCAAAAAGTTCCACAGGCTGCAGAATTCTAGAAAACATTCCCTGTGAC